TTTATATTTATATAAAAGACGTGTATATGCTGTACATCTTAAAGCACAAAACGCATTGTAGCCAATGTGCTTGCGATTGAATCTGACGTTGAAGTGTCAGTTTTCTCTGTTTTTACGTGAATTTTTTCGAGAATATTTTAAAATAATTCTAATTTCTTCTTTTCACACTGAGAGAAAAAATATCTAAGAAATAGCAAATATTCGGTGGATACGAACAAAATTATATTTAATAACAATTATATATACTAATATATTTATATTATTAATATAAATATATTTACTAATAATTATATAAATATTTTGACTTATATTAATATAAAATATTTTTTAGTAAGAAAATATACATTTTCTTAGAACCTTAAGAAAATTTTAGCTTTTTATAAAAGCGTAGCTGTTTATTCTATTTAAATAAAAAAAATTTAGATTTAAATAAATATATATTATTTTAATATTCGCCAAATAAATTTACTATTTTTTCTCTTTTTTAGATATTTTTTCTCAATGCATTGAAAATTTTGAGATATATATGTATTTATAGATATTTGAGATATATATGTATTTATAGATATATTTTTAGATATTTTGTAGATATTTTTTTATTTCTGTAGTTTTCAAATACTTTTATCAGTATTTTTTTTTTCGATTTTTTCTCAGTACAATGTTTTTAAGTAATGAATTTTGAGATTAAGAATAGTGTTTTCTTAGTTATTATATGCTTAATTACGAAGTGTCTCATTCTGAATTTCGCGTCATATCGTTGTCCTCAAAATCGATATAGTTGTGAACAGTGCAGCGCGATACGACGCGACGTGCGGAACCGCGTTTCTTGAAGCAAGACTCCCCGCAAGTCAAGTCGGTTCGGTCGGTCGGTCGGTCGGTTGGTTGGTTGGTTGGTGGGTTGTTTGGTTGGTTGGTTGTTTGGTTGGTTGGTTCCTCCGCTTTCCTCCGCCGCTGCCGCGCTCCGTTGACGCCGCTCATCGGCGAAGCGGTATTACGCGAGGCATGGCGCGTTGCCACGCCGCGACGGGACGCTACACACAGCGAGACCAGCAAAAACGCAACCTTCGTGCTCAAAGCGAGACGGGACGAGACGAGAGAGGTGCACTACGGTGATGACGACGACGACGACGACGACGACGATGACAACAACGACGACGACGACGGAGACTCGAGGCGCACCGTTGCACCTGCACCACCTCGTTGTTGCCCTGGCACTCCTACCTTACTGATCCCGACCGCAGGATACCGGGAATGCCCGCAAGCGCGTTAACGCGGCGGGGAAGAACAGCTCTCTCTCTCACTCTCGTCGCCTTCGACTTTTAGAAGAATCCGCGCGCCGCAGTAAATCGCGTATGCGAGGTACGTGTACATGTTTCTCGTGCGGCTCGATATCCACAGATTTCGTCCGATGTCATTACAGAATTGCTCAGTTTAAGCGAAGTTCTGAATATTGATGGAATATGAGGGTGTTGCATGAACGCGTTTACTGTTTCTTTATAACTATAAGAAGTAACAATTCATCGCTGCTGAACTGAAAATATCTGGGTAATGATATTTTAGAAGAAAGATACACGTCAAATTGGATAATTGTATTTTCATACTTTCAAGTACATTGCAACAATATGTCTGTATGTAAAATATATATCTAAACATAAAGAACCTGAACAAATCACATACAGAAATAAAAAAGGCATCTCTTATAATCGAAAGAAAATACTGTTCAGTATATTGAGACTTCATATATCTCTATAAGCATGAAAACAAATAAAAACAAAATAATTTGGTTCAGTCATAAATTATAATCATCCCGAGTCGAAATTTTGATTCTACTTTCAATCTTGCTATTCCATTTGACACTTATTTTAATATTCTGAAACCTACATCAATCTCTTTTGATTCTTTTTAATCGAGTCGAAATTTTAACCCTATTTTCAGCCTTACTATTAACATCCTACTATAATACAACCCATTTTGACGTTAAAAAAAAGGGAAAATATCATCAGGATCAAAGTAGGAGTAAATTGTATCATTAAACCTACTTTGTTAACTTAGCTTCTACTGCGTTATAGAATTCAATGTTTAATATATGACCAAAATTTCGACTCGGGATAGCTAATTAAAATACGAGAACACAGAAAATGATTTCAATAACCGGAAGAGATTCTGTTCTATGTTATAAAGACATTTGAGACTTTTTACTCAGATCTTTTAAATTTAGAGTTAGATTTGAGTCTTTTATTTCAATTATATATGCGACATTACATTTGCAATCGCGACTCAAAACTTTCATAGTTAACTATAAATTTCAATCTAAGACTCGTATTAATAGCCATTACTTGAAACTTATCTCATGTGAGATGCATCGACCGGAATTTCAAGTTAGATTTGAATCTTTTAGTTGAGTCATATGATATACGTTACATTATACTGGCAATCTTGATTCACCTAAAATTTACATCTAATTCTATATTCAAATCTGATTATCTCACTAGAGACAAATCTCAAATAATGAGTACAGGTCTCAGGGATAATTCACATCTCTAGTAGAAAAGCAGAGAGCACAAAGACAAAAGCGGAACTTGCGCTGGTAATGGACCATTTTCTTTTCTATCGAATTCTGATTGGCTTATATCTTCCTGTTTTTCTGTCAAGGTCTTCTCTAAGTATTTCCCTTAAAGCAAGTTTAACGACACGAAAGCCTCAAATATCAAGTTTAACAACTATTACGGTTCTTCAGTGTTCAATAACGTTCAAACAATTTATAATATTAACATAACATATAACATTAGTTTAATGTTCATTCGAACCAAAATCATTTAGGTCTCTCACTTGCACGACGTGCAGCATGGACACGTGGAGCACATGGATGAGCTGCAGCTGGTGGAACTTCCACTGGAATCGGAACTAGAGCTTTTGTTCGATCGTAACGACGAGCTGGAGCTCGTATCGCTCAACAACGGTTGACGCAGGTCCTTCCAGAAATTATACCGGTCCGACTCCTTGTACGAAGACGACACGTTCGTTATGACGTCCGGTTGCAAGGACGAGGATACGCCGTTCTTGTTATCATCGCTGTCGCTGTCGCTGTCGCTCAATCTCGTCGACTTCACACCCGCCTGCAGCCGTATCTCATTCGGTTCAGGCAGATCATAGTTAATGGTCCTCACGCCGTACATCTCGCAGATGATCTTCCTGGGACCTCCTTGATTCTTAGTAACGCGGGTACCTTGCCATTTGACTATCTGCTCCTCGAAGCCGATCTTCTTCAAGTGTGGCGCAGTAAATACGGTGCATCTCGGCGCGGCCAAAAGAGTCGAGGACGACATGATGGAAGCATCATCGCTGTCATCCTCGATCTTTGGCTCGGTATTTACCGCACCCTCGCCCACCAGGACTTCGGTCTCAAGAAAGTTCTCGATGTTAAACTGCGACCATTTCGTTTCCGAATTATCGTCGTTGTCGCTGTAATCGATCTTCTTCTTCACGTCGACCTCGTCGCGATGTTCGCCCGCAAATGCGTCGCTCGACACGCTGAGGTTGTCCTCCTTGTCGGAGATCGAGTTCATCTGAGGGATGTGATACAGTCGCGTGAGAGTATTCAGTTGCGTTTTCATCGAGAAATCATTATCACGCGCCTTGCCTGGTAGATTTTCGTCGTCTGACACCGACATCAATTCCATGTCGCTTGTTGTTAGATCGTCCATGCAAGTCACCTGTCGAGAAAAGCCTTCGTCCGATCTTAATTGTTGTTAGCTTTCTTGCTTATCTTTATTGTTGCTACTAATTGTTGGTAGAAATTTTCATATAAATTTCTTGAGAAAAAATTACGTTTGATTTTTCGTATTAATTTGTCGTTATATAAATGTTAAACGTGATACATTATGATTTTTTAAAACTATTGCTGATAAACATATTTTTATCAGCAAATTATTAAATTTAACGAATTAAAACTTCTCCTTGAACTTATCCTACAATTTATTAAAAAATTTATAAATTATTGTAGGATATCAAGAGATTTCTTTACATGAAATTTTATTAATAATTTTTTCTGACTTTAAAGTTTAATTATTTAATTAAAACATGTCAAATTTAATTAAATAGTATAGTAAAAATTCTTTTCCCACAAATTTATCAATAAGTTATCAATAAATTATTAATATAAATTTGTGAGATATAAAGGAGAATTTTTATTACATTAATTAATTATAAATTTGATATATTAATTGAATTATTAAATTTTAGTTAGAGAAAGACATATGTACTCTCGTACATATGTCTTTCTCTAACTAAAATGCACCTTCGCACGAGAAAATGCGCGGTCTATTTCTTCAAATCTTTTCTCATTACTTCTTTTATTTTTTCCAATACGTGTACGATATGCTCGTGCACATCGTATTACGGCGAGTAATACAAGATGTAAGCCGGTCGACAAGTGATGTACTTTTCGGCCGATTTTCGAGCTGTGCGTTGTTCCCCGCGAGGAGAATTGCTCAAGCAATTCGTAGAGGCAACAAAATAAAGGGAACAACGCGAGGTGGAGCCTTCCGTCCCAAAATCGGTTGAAAAATACATTGCTTGCCGAGCTTTGGAATTTTTATAATTCTTCTAATGTCTAATACTCCTCATCCAAACTAACAATGTAGATTGGGTGAGTGTCAGTAAAGACTAAGTTAGGGAGGGAGGAAGGGAGGGAGATAGATAGAGAGAGAGAGAGAGAGAGAGAGAGAATAAATGTATATCCACCTCTCTTGCATGATTTTGCCTAGATCTCCTTATGTCCAGACTCTTATTATTGGGTCTCTAGCGTAAACAGAAAGAATGGATCCAATGCTCACGCGGACTCTATAAGTGCCTCCAATGTTACAATCGTTACGTACGAGCATTAAACGTTCAGTAAGCGATTATAATACCAAAGTTGATTTCCACCAAACTTTGATTAAATTAATTGACGATTAACCGATAGGATTGCCAGCTATTTCTCAGCTGTATAATCTCTTAATACAAAATGGACCAAGCAACTGGTCGAAATTTTCCACATAAATCAAGAGAAAACAGCCTGTATGAAGTTAGCCCCCCACTTTTCGAATTTAATAATTTTGACAGTTGTGTTGATTTGTGCTAGGTTTGTGCTACATTGTGCTCGAATTATAAATTTTTAATACAAAAAATAAACAAGAAAAATGGAAAAAACCGTTTTTTTGGTAGCCCCCCAATTTCCATTTTCAAAATTTTTTTATTGTGTTAGGTTGTGCTAAGTTGCGCTAAAGTAGTATCTTCGAAAAATAATCACGAAAGAAATAAGACGAAAAAAAAACGATTTTAGGCAAAAAAGAAGAAAAGTAAGATTTACACTCGTATAAGTCAACCAAACGATATACAATTATATATCTGAGTTGTGCTAGCCTAGCACAACTCAGATATGCAATTCTGAGTCAATACAAAGTCTACAAGTGGTGATTAATGACAGACTGCGAGCGCGAAGGGCCGCGTTCAAGAGTAAAGTGCCCTTTAGATTCTTGTGCTGGCGAAACTGAAACCTGTGCTGACTTGCGCTAGGCTAGCACAACTCAGATATATAATTGTATATCGTTTGGTTGACTTATACGAGTGTAAATCATATTTTTATTCTATTTGCCTAAAATCGTTTTTTTCGTCTTATTTCTTTCGTGATTATTTTTCGAAGATACTACTTTAGCACAACTTAGCCCAACCTAACACAATAAAAAAATTTTGAAAATGGAAATTGGGGGGCTACCAAAAAAACGGTTTTTTCCATTTTTCTTGTTTATTTTTTGTATTAAAAATTTATAATTCGAGCACAATGTAGCACAAACCTAGCACAAATCAACACAACTGTCAAAATTATTAAATTCGAAAAGTGGGGGGCTAACTTCATACAGGC